TAAAGAGTAAACATTTTACCAACGGTAAAAGTCTTAACTAATACCAACCGACTTTCCGTTGGTAAATGTCCATCATTACAATTGGTAAAAATCAATGTTGTAAATAACCGTATGGTAAAAAAGTTATTTATTTATTATTATTATTATTATTTAATAATTATAATATATATATTTTTTTATTTTTAGCCAACTGAATTGAAAGGTCAAAATATTGTTTAACTCCTTATTGGACCACAAATTTATAGACGGCAACTACAAAGATATTGTTGTAAACTTCCGATGTGGGATAAGTGAATTATTTTTACCAACGGATAATCCGTTTCTAATTACCAACGGAAAATCCATTGCTGAAAGATCAAAATCTTAAACGGTTATATTAGGCACGAAATATCCGTTGGTAAAGAGATATCATTTTTACTAACGGATAATCCGTTTCTAATTACCGACGGAATATCCGTAGGTAAAAGATCAAAAATGTTAAACTGTTATATTAGGCACGAAATAACCGTTGGTAAAGAGATATCATCTTTACCAACAAAAAATCCGTTGTTAATTATTGTAGCTAAAAGTGAATTACTTTTATCAACGGATAATTCGTTTATAATTACCAACGGATGCAATCCGTTGGTAATATTCGGCACATTACCTACGGAATATCCGTTGGAGGAAGATCCAAATGTTAAACGATTACATTAGGCACGGAATATCGGTGGATAAAGTGATATCATCTTTACCAACGAAAAATTCGTTGCTAATTATCGTAGCTAAAAGTGAATTATTTTTACCAACGGATAATCCGATTCTAATCACCAACGGATGCAATCTGTTGATAATTTTCCGTAGGTGAAAAGCTGTTTTTTAGTAGTGAATTTTAGTTGAAGCTCAACATTGAAATCATAGTTTAAAACTGTGAAAAAAAAAAAAAAAAAAGGGGGAAGAAGAAGAAGTCCACAATAATATACAATTCTTGGTCTATTTTTTCAAATATTTACGTTCCTCAAGGATTCCAAATTTTACTAAAAATAAATAAATTATGAATCTTTTAGGGTTTTCAAAGCATCGCCCAGAGTTTAGATTTTCAAAACATGTCCGAACAGGAGACAATAATATTTAGAAGTTTCCATGCAACTTAGGAGGCCACCTCTTCGAAGATGATTTTAATGAAAAATATTGTGTGGATCTTTGAACCTAGCCTTTTAAGTATAACTAGCAAACTATTTGGCTAAGTTTAAGAAAAAGTAATAGTTTATTTTCAAACATATTTAAATAAGTTATTTTTTAGCTTTAGAAAATAAGTAATTTTTTATCAACACCAATTTGTGTTGATTTTCATCAGGTTGTAGTTTCATTTAAATTCAAGAATCAAATTCCCTTGTGGTAATGATTGAGTTAGTAACCCAAAAACACGTGATGAAATAAAAGGGTCTAAGTACTCCCTTGTGTCTTGTGATTTCCCCCTATGAAATTTTTTTCAAACTCTGATCTCACCCTTCTCATTTTTCCTTAAAGGTTTCCTTCTTTCTTCAAGAAACTAAAAACCCTAATTAGAATCTCAAGTTCTCAACATAAACTCCAATTCTTCATTCCCATTTCATGGCTTACTTACAACTTACAGGAAAAACGATTCCCGCAGATTACAGCCGAGATAGATACATGATCATGAAGAAAATTGGTATTGATTCTAATGCAAATGTCTATAAAGCCGTGTACTTGCCGGGATACCTTCGGGCGGAGCAGAGACTTGCCAAGGCGCCCCAGTATGTTTCTGTGAAGGCAATCCCCATCGGGAGAGGAACTCGTGCATTTGATCGAGAAATCAGAAGAAGTATTTTTTCTTCAACCCCTGGTGCGGAAAATATAGTTGAAATAAAGAAAAAATTCTACTCGAATCTCACGTTTTTATGTGCTTCGATGGCCTACATGTCTGAAGGATCACTCCGGTACATAATGAGTAAATGGTTTACATGGGGGTTGCCGGAAGATTGCATTGCGATTGCTCTTCGAGAAACCATTAAGGGTCTCTCTTATCTGCATGGACGCGGCCGTGCGCATGGAAAAATCGACGCCGGCCAGATTTTTGTGAACGGAAATTCAAATGGGGTCGCCATTAAACTGGGTTTTGAAGCTTCCATGTATGAACATGATCAAGAAAGATGGAACCCTATAGCAATGCCGTCTACTTCGACTCTACCGTTGAGGGATATAACAAAATGGGGTACTGCGCCTGAGGATTTCTCGGCGGAAGAGGAAAGTAGATACAGTTATAAGCCTCATTCTGATATATGGTTGGTTGGAATTACGGCATTGGAATTGGCTTATGGGTATTTTCCGGTGAGGGATAGGGCGGAGTTTGAGGCGGTGATTGAAGAAATAACGAAGAAAAAAAAACTGCCCACGATTGAAGAGTTGAAAAAGATTACTGATGAAGAGAAAGTGAAAAGAAAGGGAAAACGGGTTATGAAATTCTTGGAGAAGAAGTTGAAATCAATGGCGGCTAAAAGAGAGAAAAAGGAGCGGCAATTTTCACCGGAGTTTGAAGAAGTGGTGGTGAAATGCCTTTCCAGGAAGCCGAGGAAGCGGCCCACGGCAAATCAGCTTCTACTGTTTAAGTTTTTTCAAAGGAGCAAGGACTTGAAATTCTTCCAAAAGGCTGTGGTGAATCGCAAGAAAGTAATGGAATACTGATAGTTGAAGAAAGTGATCTGAAAATTACTCCAAAAGAGGTGAAATTTTTGTCACATTTTGCCTGAAAAATACTTCGAAACTTTGAACAAATTGAGGATATAGTACAGAATAATCTGCAGAAAGTAGCTTTGGGAGTGATTTGAATTTTGGTCCATATTCTTCGATCGATCTTAATGCATTTTCTGTTTCTTGATAGGAATTTTCTTCTAAAATTGGGATGGATCATTAATTTCCTCGAATAAATTCATTTAATATGATTTTCAAGCCCTAGCGTGCCTAAAAAAGAGGCCTGAGCCGGGATGGCCCGGCACATGCCAAATTTAAAACTGGTTCTCAATGTCCACCTTGTTGGGTTGTATTCAGCTTCTCTCACATTAAAAGTCAGCTCAAGAGGTGAGGCTTTCCCTCACATTTATAAATTGAATACCAACCACATCCACAACTGATGCGAAACAACCTCAACAAACTCCCCTCACACATTAGGCCCTACGGGAGATCAAACCCATCTCCCTCTCACACAAAGGGCCTGCAGGAGACCAAACCCATTTCCCCCTCATATAAACCCGTATCTCCTTGACTGTTGGGCCGAAGATTTGTCAATAAACCACGCTCTAATACCCGTGTTGAATAATATTAGGTCTCTCTAACCCCAAAAGTTAGCTCAAAATATGAGACTTTTCCTCACACAAAAGGCCATACCCATTTCTCTCCCTCATATAAACTCGTATCCCCGTAACTATTGGGTTGGAGACTTGGTGATAAACCACGCTTTGATATCAGAGTTGGTTGGTGTTGGATCTCTCTCATCCCAAAAGCTAGCTCAAAAAATAAGACTTTCCCTCACACTTATAAACTGAATACTAACCCCATCCACAACTGATATAGGACAACCTCTAATAAGTCCACTCTGCTGTAATGTATGTTTAAGTAAGTGTTTTGGAGATTGGTTTTTTTTTTTTTTTTGGAATTCTTATCGATGGTTATACAACATACGGATGAAACAGATATGTGCACTCATATTCTACTGTATTTTAGCTGAGGGTAAGAAAAAAGCTAAAATCTTCTGAATTTCAACATTCTACTTCTTGACCTCTGAATTGAGGGAAAAGTAACCGTTGCTCCATCCAAAATTCTAACTACAATGCAGCTCAAAGCCAAGTTCAGGCTGTTCAGCTCATTATCATCAACCTCGTCCCAAATATTACATTACCAGAAGGATACATTTGCCAGGTTCCTCGACTTTCATTGATTTTTCTGCATTTCAATCTTTTTTGTTTTCTGGTGTGTAATCTGAAAGAATATAGTCAAATAAGGCCGGTCATACACAAGATGAATGAGCTGGATTTTGGCCGAAGAATCTAATTTCCTTCTCTCAGTGCAAATAGCAAGGCGTGTTCTGCTTCTTGTAGGAACATACGAGTTAATTGCTTCTGCCGTTGTCAATATAATATGCTCGACCGCCTGTTCCAACTCATTAAAGGATGTTGAAGAGCGCCATTGGTGCCATATCTGCACAAATGATAAGGGGTGAGTCGGAAGAATAAGCTATAGCACAAAACAGAATCAAAATCATGGCAAAATAGTTAGCATTGTTCATACAGAAGATAGATATTACCTTTCTCTGGTAAAAGAGTCCACATTTGTCCATTGTTGCTGTTGAGAGGAAATGTAAACTGAATATGATAAAAGTGAAGGATACTACAGTATAATTGGTTTTAAGGTTTAATCTTTAGTTAAATTTCATCTTACTTCCCAACACAAGGCAAACCTTTCATTCACTGGACTAAAACTTTGATTTATGAATGCAAGACATGCAAGTCGAGTAGTCAAGCAAGATAGCTAGCTTTAGTTTCGTGCACCATGTGATATGAAGAACAAAATAAAGTATGTAACGAGTATGAAATTCCACTAAGAGTTCATCGAACACCAGTGTTTTTAACTCATTAGTTTAATATCATAAGCATTCTATTTCAATCCCATTTTGGCCCAAATAGTAGACCAAGACAACCGAGTACATTTATTACTTGGGTTTGCTCAATTGCCCATGTCGGAAGACGTAGATATAAGAAACCGTTATATAGTGGGCTACAGAGCCTTCAGTAAGCCTGGACGTAATAAGTAATTTCTTGAAAACACGCTTCGGTATTTATGGTACCTTTTGCAATCTTCACGGTTTTCCATGCATCAAGCCTTCCCAAGTAAATCAGCATCACTCTCCTCTGTCACTGAACCCTTTTCAAGTTCCACCATCCTTTTGCGCGCATAAAATAGTTAAAGACGACAAGACTTAAATCAGGCAAATCAAAATTAGGTTTCGTGCACCATGTGATATGAAGAAAACTCAAAAATACTGAGCCAGTGTATGTGAGTATGGTATGCTTCATATTACTCATAAACATTGACTCCATGTTTGCAATGTTTTGCAAGCATATCAAGATACATGGAAATATTGTCGTAATTGTCAACAATTTATCCAAATATTTCCTTCCAAACAAGATGTTAAATCTATGTTTTACATACGGCTTCCAAGAAGAGTTCTTCTGCAAACATTCTACTTTCTAACATTATCAAGAATCTGTCATCGGTTTCCCCTTCCTCAAGCATTACCCTACATTCAGGTCCATTTAAAGGATCTTGTAATACCCACGTAGGAATTATCGCCTAATGAAGTGGGACCACCAGCAGAATCCCTGAATTTATTTGCAACCCCAACAAATAACCAAACTTCATAACTCGTATTAATGGAAGATTATAAGAGATAACTGTAGATTTCATTTCCAATTTTGATATTTATTTTAGGGAACATAGTTAAGCGTTTGATTGAATAGATTTTATTATATATTTCCTACTTAGAATAAGATCCTAAAAACCCCATAAAAGGGGTCTTATGCAACGTAATTCGAACATATTTGATATATGAAATAAACAGATTTCCTCTTGCCCCCAATTATTCTTTTCTCTGCACCTCTTTCTTTCTCTCCTCTCTTCCTTTTCCTTTTCCTATAATTGTTCCATAGCATCCGACGTCACATATTGTTAGCATTGTTGTCTTTTTGATAAACCAAAAGAGAATATGTCAGACCACTTTTGCTAACCAGCCAAAATAACGAAAGCTTAACAAATGGTTATCGGAATATGTATCTTCACCAAACAAAAAGATGGGGCGAAGCAAACTAACCTTTATCAACGGATCCACATATACTGTTCTATCTTAAAATGCATGCTGTGATTTCAATTGCTATAAGTTTTGACAAAATTGCCCATTATTTCCTAATCCAGAAAAACTACTTTCTTTTACATATCATTAGTTTTTCTAATTCGTTGTATAATGAAAATTTAAGCTGAACAGTGTTTCCTTTTAAAAGCTCGGCGTGCATTTTGGGACATCGGGATTTATATACTGCTGATGGATTATGCCTTCATTTCAAATTAAATTAGAAAAACAAAATATGAAACCCCTAGAAGAGATTGAAGCTTCAAGTTATATTACTTCAATTTATTGGGATACCAGTAATTTAATTAATGTTCTTTTACAAATTTCTTCTCGATCAAATAGAGTATATAAGCATTCAAAAGAGTCAGCATAACATTTTGAATGATATTGCAAATTTTTTGAAAAAAATAAAAATAAAAACGCAATCGTTCACCTTTAGCGACATCGTTAGATAAGAAAATTTTACTGGAGTCGCGGTATTTGATCTTGAAATCCCGTAGTTCCACTTCAATCACCTGAATTCAAATGTCCTCCTCAAATTTTTCACATAAAATAACAGTTGAAAAAATATAAATTATTAAATGAAAAGTGAGTTTCCAAAAAGTTGACAGGGCGGAAAGTGAGCTTTGATGATCCTAAGTACTTCTTCGAGTTTGTGGTACCTGTAGCCACTGCAGAAAATTTTCAAGCTTAGCTTCTTCTAAGGCCGCCATTGACGAAGCGTTTTGGAGCTTTCAATCTATCTCACGCAGTGTAGACTCGCAGAGAGATTCAAAAAGATTTTCTTCTTGGGCCTTTGTGTATGATGGGCCTAATTTGTCAGCATAGAAGTGGCCATGGATGGACAGCTATTAAGAGTCCAATTCCACACAAGAATGTGGAAATTCCACATCTACCTTAACATTAAAAAAATAAAAAAATCTTTTTTACATTAATACAATTTTTTATCCAAATTTACGTCAAAATAAGGAGTATAAACGAAAATGACAAATATACACACAATCCCTAACATAATCACTACTATATAATACTTTAGGAGCTAAAGTATTAATATGTTCATATGATAGCAGGTTCACGGATATAAAACATGGATTATTAGGAAGCATAGAATTAGATATGAATAATAAAGATGGAATAGTATATTTTACACCAAACTATTTAGTAAGAACAAAAAATTTCTATAAAGATATTAAAATAGGAATAAAAAGCAAATGATATCAAACAAAAAGAGATGAAGATAATTTATTAATTTGCACATAATGTATAAGAAGCCTTAGTGAAAATAGTACTACTAATTATATATTAGAAAATAATCAAATAATTATATTATGAGGACAAAAAGGTATAAAAGTTATCTCAACAAAGAAATTCTCTTCAAAAAACAAATGCAAGATTAGATTGAAATTTAAGAATTTTTTTAGAAAAAATCAATATTAGTACCAAAATAATATTATGTACAAAAATAGTAATGGAACTTTAATTATTAGATTTGAAAATTATAATTATCAAGCAAAACAGACAAAGTATAATGAAGAAGAAAATGAAAGAGAATGTGGATATTTTGAAATAGAAGAGTATGACAGCGAAGATGATATTAATACTTTAGATAAAGATAGTGTTGAAGACGAAAGGGTGGATGACAAAAAAGAGTTTGAATATGTAGATATGGAATATTATAGAAATCTTTGAACAATTAGAGAAATAGAACCTAGAATGTTAATAGAAAAAGATCGAGTAGACATAGAAACCAAGATGGAATAAACTGACAAAAGAACTAAAATGGAAACAGATCATGATTTTAAAATTGGAAAGAACCCATGAATATAGAATATGAAATAGGAGGCAAATATTATTTTCCCCTGTAAGAGACTTTGAATGAACCGATATAAAATATAAAAGTTTAAAAAGACAAACATAAGAAGGATGTAGTTTACCATCAGCCAGTGATATAAGATTAATTTTAGAATCAAATAATTATAAACCACAAGACAGACCTAGTACTATAACTAAATGGGAAAATTTTGTAATTAGGACGTATAATAGTGTACGTATACAAATGAGTGTAGAAGAAACGTGGGCCTACTTATAAACTTATTTAGGAAAGACTGCTTTAGATGACAGCAAAAAGACTAAAACTAGACGAAATTAGATCGAGAATGGCTGGAGGAGATAACCCTAGAAATTTTACAAACTTTATTAGAGAATTATTTATAGGCTTTGATCCCAGTAAAGATAATACCTATGAACAAAATAAAGCTTTGGAATACTTAAAAAAAATTAAGTATTAGTAATATGAAATATATACAACCATTTTTGTTAGATTTTGAATTATTAGCAAGCGCAGCAGGATTAACATTAGATTATCCTATACTTGAAAGATTATATAGAAAAATACCACCACCATAGAATGATAAGATTAGAAAAGATGTAGAGTAAAACCCAACAAAATAAATAACTATTAGTGCTACCATAAAATTCATAACTGATAAATTAAAAGAATATTGTATAGAGGAAGTAGCTAGAAAATAAATTAAAAAATTAAATTATTCTTTTTGCTCAGATTTATATACACCATAGACGTATGATTATAGAAGAAGAAAGAAAAAATTGTATAAAAAGAATAAAAAAAGAAAAATATGAAGGGCAACATACTCATTTAGGATTTTAGACATTTTTAACAATTGAACTTTAATAGCAAAGATAAAATAAATTGATGTAAAAAAATTTCAAACTTTTTGTCTTCAAAAATTAATTGCTAGTAGACTTTTTATTGCTACAAGGAAAAATTGGTTTTCAAAAAGTGTGTAAATTTTTGAAAGACTTTTTACTACAAGTCTTTTTCTTACAATTTTCAAACGTATTAAAATTTTTGAAAGACTTTTTCTTTCTTTGATAAAGACCTTTTGTTATAAGATTTCTTTTAAAGACTACAATACTTTTTTTTGCAAAGAATTTATAACAAAAACTTTCAAAATGTGTTTAAATTGGTAGTTTTTCTAAAGACTTTTCTTTTCTTACGAGAATTTTTTCCTCAGTTGTCATTTTACTACAAAGTCTTTTTCTTGTAGAAAGAATTGGTCTTGAAAGAAGACTTTCAAAATGTGTTTTAAATCTTTGTTCGTCCTCGAACAAAACTATAATCCAAATAACAACAAACATACAAACATGTAAAAATATTTGGTTGGACCGTTTAGCTTTTTACCTCAGAATTTGAAATCACGGCATTAAATCTACAAACCACTTCAAAGTCACAATACCAAACTAATATATACTTTTTCAATGCAAAGTCGACGTGTGTGAAGAACTAAGTAGATATTAATGAATTCACAAGTTGTTCCAGTTCCGACCCTCTATAGTCAAATATATCATTTCATCTCTCATAAGATTCACACACTCCCAAACTTATTCCTTTTCACTCTTTTCCCAGCCTGTGATCTAAGATTGATTTTTCACTACTATCCTCACCCTCTCCAATTCATGTAGACGTAAGTGGTTACATGTCAACACATCAATGAATAAGGATTCTCAATTTATTTGATTGCTTTAACCGCTAGGAATCAACTAGGCTAATTATCCTTCTTCGAAAATCAAATTTCCTAAAACAAGTGTTAGGACGTAATAAGACAATAAGTGCTTTTGCTTTTTTCATGCACTTTTTTTAAAGATTTTTTTGTTTTATTTATTTTATTATTTTTTTTTCTTGCACTCTCCCTTAGGCTTTCTAGATGACCCATGTAATAGGCTTTAAGCCAATGACTCTCAAATCAAATGATTTTAGGATACCAGGTTTTCAAATACCCTTACAGGTTTAATAACTCGAGTTAAAGAGGCTTCGAAGAGGACAAATTTTTTTTAGAACAACTTTATCTCTTATTGCTTTCTAATTGACCCCTATATCGAGTTTTAGGCGGATGACTCCCAAGTCAGATGACTTTAGGACATCAGATTTTGAGATACACCTGCAGGCTTAATTACTCGAGTCATAAAGGTTTCAAAGAAAAATTTTAAATTTCAAAATATATGCATTGATTAGTGCAATGTCCCTTATCACACACCTATTCAAGCAAACCGACCTCCAATTTACGAATTTTACCCAATTTTATCATATTAATCTAAGACAATCCATACAAACTTTTTCATACAAGGGATCCACATTCACATCCGCATCTTCCTACAACAATAAGATCTCCCTAAATTGTACTAAATTTGGTTTAAGGATAATAATTAGTATGGTTTAGGTAAAACATTTATGTCCAACTAAAACAATCTATCACATGTATGAATCAACTCATTTCATCACAATATCAAACTCAATTCTAGTGCGCATATAATATCAAGTTTTGCAAGTTCAAGTTTCAATCAATCTAGCATGCTTCTTATCCACAATTCATAAATCAACATCAAATCTTAAATTTAATTATCATTATCAGCCAAACCGTCTAACTCTCACAAGCACACAACCCAAAATAAACAAATAAATAAAATAAAATAAAAAAATTAAGGATTTTTTTTCTTTTTTTACTTAACACACAAAAAAAAAACATATGAAAATAAGAAAAACAAAGTGTTTCCCGCCCCCCAAACTTAAACCCGACATTGTCCTCGATGTCTTGAGACATAATTAATAATGTAAAGGGATGGGGAAGAAAAGAATGAAGGTACTTCCTGAATTTTTCTATTGAACATGGAAGATCCTGTAAGTGACGACTTGACGATCTTTCTCATCATGCTTTCCCCTTGGTTTATGTTGGTTTGAGTGTTCCACGATATCGTGTTCCTGCATATGACAATCAAATCAAACATTAGATATCAAATAATCTAGAACATGCGTTACTTAGCCCAAACACTCAAAATAATCAACATTATATTTTAAGGCCTAAGTGAAAACATGATCAAATGATGATACCCTATAAATTTAAATGTGTCTAAATCTAATGCAAACTAATAATTAAAACAAATTTATATGCAATGGAATAAAGAAAGCCAAATAAATAAGGATTAGAAAATTGGGATACCTCCCAATAAGTGCTTGATTTATAGTCTTTAACTAGACTTTGTTTTTTTGGCTATTCACGATGGCTTGAAGAGGGAATTTTTAGCTCTGCATTTTACACATTGATTTCACTTTCTTCTTTCATCTTTCATCCTCCACACAATTAAGTTTTCATCGTTGTCTCTACTAACAATTCCACCTTCATTTGGCTTGCTTTTGTAGCTCTCCTAATGATCTGCTCATTGGCAATCCTTAAAGTATGATGGTTGCTTGATTGGATTCTCTATGGTGAAACTCTATTGCTTATCCTCCATCCTCAAGAAAATCTCATTAGCATCAAAATCTAGCAAGGCTCGGCTTGTAGACAAGAATGACCTTCCCAGAATTATTGGCATCTGATATGTCTCTTCAATGTCAAGGATGATGAAGTCAGCTAGAAAAATAAACTCCCCTGCCTTGATAAGCATGTCTTCGACTATTCAGTAGGGGTGTTTTAGTGATCGGTCCGCTAGCTAAAGGATAATAGATGCCGCCTTGGGATTTTCTAATCCCAGTATCCTGCAAAGAGGTAAGGAAAATAAATTAATACTCGCTTCTGAATCAATCAAACAATTTATATCATTTAAATTTCCTGTGGAGCAAGGTAGAGTAAAACTCCCTGGATCTTTAAGTTTTGGAGGGATGCTGTGCTGGATAATCACGCTGCACTCTTCAGATAGTGCTATTGTTTCATGTTTTTGCAGTTTTCTCTTCTTAGTCAACATCTCTTTAAAAAATGTAACATAATTTGGAATTTGTAGAATTG